GTCCATGCCAATCACCACCTTGTCAGTGTAACCAGCTTTCCCAATAGCATTCTTCAGCAGCTCCAGGGCTTCTTTGTTCTCCAAGATGTTGGGGGCAAATCCGCCTTCATCCCCGACATTGGTGGCATCCTTGCCATACTTCTCCTTGATGACGTTCTTCAGGTTGTGGTACATCTCTGTCCCGATGCACATGGCCTCCTTGAAGTTGGCTGGTCCGACGGGGAGGATCATGAACTCCTGCATGGCCAGCTTATTGCCGGCGTGGGAGCCACCGTTGATCACATTGAAAGCAGGAACTGGCAGGATAACTTCAGAATTGCCAGCCAAGTCAGCAATGTGACTGTATAAGGGGATTCCCTTCTCAACAGCTCCGGCCTTGCACACAGTGAGGGACATGCCCAGAATGGCATTTGCACCAAAATTTGATTTATTCTCAGTTCCATCCATCTCAATCATCAGATTGTCGATCTTTTCCTGTTCTGTCACGTTCAGCTTCTTGCTAACCAGGGCAGGTGCAATCGTTTTATTGATGTGCTCAACAGCCTTTGAGACATCTTTGCCCAGATACCGGGTCTTATCATTGTCCCGGAGCTCCAGGGCCTCATAGATCCCAGTGGAGGCACCCCTGGGCATAGCAGCTCTGAAGAGCCCTTTGGCGGTGTAAAGATCGACCTCAACGGTGGGATTTCCACGGGAGTCGAAGCTCTCTCTGGCGTGAATCTTGAGGATAGACATGATGGATTTCTGGGCGCTGGTTCTCGTCGCCCCGGAAGGAAGTGGAGGAGGCTGCAGGCACCTAGACGGGTGTTGGGTCAGCAGCGGTGCAATCATTTTTATTTTCAATTTATCATTTTATTGGGTGCTCTTACAGATATCATAACATTCCATAGTGCAATCACATCAAACAGTATTGTATAATTGCTACCACAATCAGTTTCAAAACATTTTCTTTCTTTTAGAAATCCTTGATATCAATTCTCTTTATCTCTTCCCTTCCCCACTCTAACCCCCAGGAACCCTTTTTCCCCCCCAATAATAGTTTTTTGGTTTTGTTTTTGCCATATCTTGCACTATAAAATATATCCATTCACATACAATTCTGTTGTTCGATCCATGGAGTGGGGTTATACAGTCATCACTGCTATCTGCTCCCTGTTTCCCCTTCTACCCCTCCCCCACCCTTCCCATACCCTCAGGGAACCATTACTGTTTCTGAAGGGTTATCTATCTTGGCTTTCACATTGAGTGTATATGCATTAAATTCACCAGTTAAGAGAGAGAGCCTAACAGAATGGATAAGAACACACAAACCACTAATTGCTTACAAGAAACACAATTCAGCTATAAAGACAAAAGAAGATTAAAAATCAAAGGATAGAAAAAATATAACAAGGTAATGGTAGCCAAAAGAAAGCATGAATAGTAATATTAATATCTGACAAAATAGATGTCAAAATAAAACCATCATGAAAGACAAAAATGATCATTATATAATGAGGAAAGTCTCTTTCACTGAGCAAGAAAACACAAACACAACGAACA